TTACGTGTACGTGTTGAATGTTTATGAATGTGTATTTTTGGCTTACGCGTAGGTAGGCCTATATTGAATGTTTATATATGTTTTTTTGTTCGCGTGCACGTGTTGAATGTTTATGAATGTGTATTTTTGGCTTACGCGTATGTAGGCCTATATTGAATGTTTATATATGTTTTTTTGTTCGCGTGCACGTGTTGAATGTTTATGAATGTGTATTTTTGGCTTACGAACAGGTATAGTGAATGTTTATAAATGTATTTTTTTGTTCGCGTGCACGTGGTGAATGTTTATGAATGTGTATTCTTTGCTCACGCGTACGTGTTGAATGTTTATGAATGTGTATTATTTGCTTACGCGTACGTGTTGAATGTTTATGAATGTGCATTTTCACGCGTACATCTTGAATATATATAAATGTTTTTTTTGGGCTCACGTGTACGCGTCTGGGATCAGGTAGGCGTTAGGCTGCATCGTTGTAATGCTGTCTCCGTTGTCGCATAGCAACCGAGTCAGGGATGCTTTTCGAATCTCTGTCAGCTGATCTGTTCATGAGAGAAATTACGTCACATCTTGTTAGAAAGTTCCCCCTGTTTTTCAGTATCCTTGGTGGGAAGCAAATATTTGTGACACATTCAATATATATATATATATATATATATATATATATTATATATAAACTATTCTGGAGTATTTGCTCTCTACTTTAAATTTCTAATTAAAATACAGTAACATTTTTTTTGGCTGATGATACTGGACCTCTGCGAACACGAATCCCTCTCCAACGATCTTATATTGGGGATATGGGTCTTCAGAACACTATAACTAATACAGTATATTCACCTGACTCTAAACCGTAATTTATTATACTGTTTTAAATTTTGATAGGAGCAACAGAGCGGTACGTGTACGGTGGGTAATTCGCCGGAGCGTTATTCTGAACAACGAGTCAACTCAGTGTCGAAAGCGCGCACGCGCGCGCCATCTATTGGTAACTCAGATAACTAGAACATACGAAGACTCACCGAGCGTGAATCTGTTCGTTGGCATGTCGTTCTCGTACCAGAAACGGTCGCCGCGCCGCAGCCGCGTGAACTGACGCGAGATGATGCACCCGAACGTCGGCCCGACGAGTCCGCCCGGCATGGGGCGCTCCGATAGCCCAGCCGAGAACAGGTCGATGTCGTCTGGGTAGCTGGAAGAAGTGGCGCTACCTCTGATGCGGTGCCGTGACGTCAGCAGGCGGAGCGATACACGCCGTAACAATAATGAGCATTGCGTGCAAGAGGGCGGCGGGCGGTTGTGCGGTTAGCATAGCAACAGTAGTTAGTGACGCAACAAGAGCCGAAACTAATCCCATACGGTTTCTTTATTTATTTTTAGACGGATATTTATGGGGGCTTGTTCGACAATTGGATTTTAATATTTCGCATTTTGTTAGTTTCGCGAGAAGCTGAGCGCGCGCTAGTGTCGTGAGAGACAAAACACCACCTAGCGTTGCGAGAGACAGGAGCGCCACTTAGTATCGTGAGAGACAGGACATCACCTAGCGGCGTGAGAGACAGGAGCGCCCCTAAGCGTCGCGAAAGAGCGAAAGCATGACGTCTTACTTGTACAGCTTGGATAGAACAGCGATCTGTTCCTCATCCATGACGTTGCCGAGATCCTTGAAGGTGAGCGCCCTCTGGAGGCCACACGCCTCGCGGTAGACGTTGTATCCCGGCAGGCCGTGATCGCGACCGCGCTGGAGGTTCAGCGACACAAGATCCAAGCCATATGGCTTGCCACTCTCCTAATGTGCCGAGAGAGACAGAAAGATAGACATAGATATAGTGACACGCTGCTGATTACCTTTATTATTATTATTATTATTATTATTATTAATATTATTATTATTATTATTATTATTATTATTATTATTAATATTATTATTATTACTATTATTATTTTATTATTATTATTATTATTATTATATGGTTTATGTAAAACTCACACCAATTCTATTCCATGAGAATCAATCAAATTACTCAAATACGCAATCAGTCAATCAATCCATCTATCTATCTATCTATCTATCTATCTATCCATCCATCCATCCATCCATCCATCCATCCATCCATCCATCCATCCATCCATCCATCCATCCATCCATCCATCCATCCATCCATCCATCCATCAATCCATCCATCCATCCATCAATCCATCCATCCATCCATCAATCCATCCATCCATCCATCCATCCATCCATCCATCTATCTATCTATCTATCTATCTATCTATCTATCTATCTATCACCCAACCAACCAACCAACCAACCAATCAATCAATCAGATGCTCGATACCTGGAACAGGTGTTCGGTGACCTCTGCTGTGACCTTGGAGTCCATCTTCTCAGCGTTTTGTGTCGCGATTCCTCTCATCAAGGCGTCGATACCGCCTATGCAACAATAGCGCCACCTACCGTCAACCGTGCAACTAACACCCTAACAGCTTCATCATGACATTTCTATCAGAGTATGGCAGATTCGGCAAAACTTCATAACTCTGTACAGCGGCGGGTGGTGCAAAGTCACGCTATGTTATCAACCAATACATTTTTGCCAAGTAGGTACACGGTCATCTACGATAGCCAATTATACAATTATGTAAATCGCCGATTATAGAGTATATAAGGTATACTCTACACAAGCCTGGTTACGCAAACTAGTGAGACCATCACGTACGCGTTATATTTGTCAGTAGTGACGTCGCCCCCGCACGGGCCAATAGTGACGTCACACCGCGCGGATCAATAGTGACGTCACCACGCATGGATCAGTAGTTGATGTCCCCACACACAGGTGAGTAGTGATGTCATAATGCCCGTGTCACTAGTGACGTCACCACACGCATGTCAGTAGTGACGTCACCACACACAGGTCAGTGGTGACGTCACACGTCGCGTGTCAGCGAGCGATGCGTGGACACGGACGTACCGGTGTCCGAGGTGTCATAGATGGGCGCCGGTCGGAAGAACGCCTCCCTGAGCGGCAGCGGATCCCTTTTGGTGCCGGTAGCGTCTAGACGAAGCAGCGCGTCCGGCAGCAGACTATGTCCGAAGCGGAAGGCTGCCGTGGAGAAGGCGTTAACGAGGCCTGGGTCGGTCTCTACATCATACTCTGTGTAGAAGCCAGCGTTCACCTATACAGAGTGACAGACGAGGTGTAGTTAGCATGCACATAGAGACGGGGTATAGCTAGCGTTCACCTATAGAGAGAGAGAGAGAGAGAGAGGTGGGTAGTGATTGATCGGATATACAGAGAGTGGGTAGCCGTTGGTCAGATATACAGAGAGAAGATAGCAATTGGTCAGATATACAGAGAAGGGGTAGTCATTTGTTGGTAGAGACGGATGGCCAGGTATACAGATGTTAATACATTATAGAGAGGGTTGGTGAGCTACAGAGCGGGTTGGTGAGCTACAGAGCGGGTTGGTGAGCTACAGAGCGGGTTGGTGAGCTACAGAGCGGGTTGGTGAGCTACAGAGCGGGTTGGTGAGCTACAGAGCGGGTTGGCAATAGAGATAC